GCAATTAGGGTTTCCATCTGCATGAATCAAACTGTTTCTCGAGAGGGCTTCTAGATCTAGGGTTTTGGGGTGGAGGATACGAGGGAAAGGAAGAAGAACAATAAGATAAACTACAAGCTGGAAATTAGGGCTTCTTAGTTTACTGGTTCGAGTAAAGACAATGTTCAACTGGTGCAACACTCCCATAGAAGTCATAGGTTAGAGAGAGAAAGTTTTTATGCTTTGGTCTCCGTATGTGGGAGGGGTTAAGGAGAGAGAAAAGTGTGGTTGCTTCGCAGGTGGGGTTTGGAAAAATATTTTTGTCCGACATCAAAATATTTAGAGAGCCAATGAGAGAGGGTATGCCATAAAAGATGAGTAGATAGAATGAAAAAGCAAAAGGGATAAGAAACTTCGGGTCCTGGTCGGGTATGGGGTGGGTCCAGTAGTACTTGGATCCATGCCTAAAAATCTTTGGGTCTATGATGAAGGACCCGGACCTTCCTTTCGGGTCCAAGGTTTGAATTCATACCCAGACCTGTGTAGGGTATACTTAGTGGGCCCAAGTTCGGTCTAAGTTCATAGCTAGTCCTATCAAAGAGAGGCAAAGAGAAATGGCGTATATGTTATTTTGTAATAATAGGGTGGGTATGATAGAGACAATTTACTTTTGATACAAGGTGGCCTAATATGCCATTGACCATTCACAAACTTCAAAATAAATTTTCAAGAACTTCATGAGACATCCAAGCAGCTATCAAATTTTACATCAAATGGTTGTAAGGAATTGTGATCACCTTGTATCAATGGTAAATGGTCCCATTGTATACAATCTCATAGTCTAATTGAATTATATTTACTTTTATAAATAAATATGTCATTTTTTTATAAGTATTAAAATAACTAATAGAATTTGCATCATAATTAGCCTAATTGATTACTTTTACTTCAATAAGTAAATATATCATTTACTTATGGGTGAGGTATGTATAGAGCCGAGGCTCTAAACAATCAAATTAGAGCCCACCTTCAAATAGTATCGAGAAATGTGCTTTCAATATTGAAAATATTTGTCATAGCCTTAAAATATAGTTTTCAGCTTTAATTATAAAATTTAAAGCTTCAAAAATACTGTCAACTAAGTAGATCTATAAACACTTGAAAAGCTTGAAAATTGACGGTACAAAAATGCGTTACAAGATGCACTATTTCCAAAACTTGAAATCCAGTTTTTTCTTGTGTCTATGCATCTTGATGCCTAGATGATCAATTTGAGGATATTTGGCATCAAATCAACCTTTTCAAGTAAAATCTTTTAAGTAGGCTCTAATTCGAATTTTTAGAGGCTTAGACCTATATAAACCCTTCCCTTTTCTTACAAGTATTAAAATAAGAGTGAGGTCTATATAGATCCTAGGCTCTAAGCATTCAAATTAGAGCCTACCTTCAAATAGTGTCAAGAGATGTGGTTTCAATACTAAAAAATTTTGTGATAGCTTTAAAATATATTTTCATCTTTATTTATAAAATTTTAAAGCTTCAAAAGTAGTGTAGATCGACAGATCTATGAAAACTTGAAAATCTTAAAAATTGATGGTCCAAAAATGCGTTACAAAATATACTATTTCTAAAACTTGAAATCCATTTTTTTCTCATGTCCATATATCTTGATGTTGAGATGATCAATTTGAGGATATTTGAGCATAAAACTAACCTCTTCTAGTTAAATTTTTGTGATAGGCTCCAATTTGATTGTTTAGAGCCTCGGCTCTATATAAACTTTTCCCTTAAAAAAAGAGATAGTATAGCACGAGACTATTTACTTTTGGTACAAGGTGAGACATTAATCTTGACCATTATAAATGAAATTAGGTGGCTGCAATTATTCTATTAACCAACCTCAATTTTCAAATGAAATTTTTTCGAACTTTGTCACATATCCAAGTTATCAAACTTTACATCAGATATTTTTAGATAATTACGACCACCTTGTATCAAAGGTAAATGGTCTCAGTACAGTTTCTTAAAATAAAGTATATAATTAAGCTCTAAATAGTATAAGGTATAGAGAGAGTAGAGAAAGGGTAAGTCGTATCTTTTAGGGAAGGAGACAGGAAGAAGTTATGCCTTAAATTCAAATTTAAATGTTATTGGAGTTGAAAGAGATTGACGTTCACATCCAGTATCATACATCAGATATAATCAACATCTCCAAATGCGTGTCTCTTTCTAACATTAAAAAAAAATTATTATATCATAAAATAGAAGAGATAGAGAGGGAGTATATTTAACATAATAAAAAGGATTCGTCTAAGATAGAGAGAGAATAAAGAGCATTTAAAGTAGAGAGAGAGACAGTTGTACAAATAAATAAGAGAGAGAGTTTTATCTTATAATAAAAAAGAATTGTAATAAAAAATAAGAGAGAGTCATTAAAGAAAATAATTAAAGACAAAGTGGGAATTGCCTTACCAACAAAAAGGTTAAAAAGGAACATAAAAGGACCCCTGACGCCCAAATAAGAGGGTTGATGTAAAATATTTTTAGGATTATCCCAAAATTTATTTTCATATATGATTATAAATTTTTAAACTTCAAAAATAGTTAAAATCAAGTAAATCTATAAACATATGAAAATTTTAAAAATGGATGGTCTAGATAATGTGTTGTAAGATGCACTATTTTTCGGACTCAAAATTCTTTTTTCGTTCATAATTATACATCTTAATGTTGAGATGCTCAATTAGAGGGTTTTTCAACATTAAAATAACATTTTCCCGATAGATTTTTGAGGCGCATATATATATATATATAGGTATAATCTAAACTTCACGACCCTTCAAATTACTAAGGTTCAAGATAGATAGAGTTGTGAAGGTGGATTTATTAATTTGTTGTTTATTTTTTAAAAAAAGTTACTTTTATGGGGAAAATTTGTAAATATTACTACAAGACAAAAGGTATTTTTGTCATCTCTACAAGGGATAAAATTGAAATTTTAACTAAAAAACAAGAGCACTCTCCAAATAAAGTTCCACGATACTAACTTCTAAAATGTCAATGTTCTTTTGTGAAAATTTCAAATTTGTCATTGCTTAATATGCAGTCCAGAAAATGTAAAGCATCTATCTTAAAGATTGATGCAAGTAGGTGTTCCATCTAAAAACAATGAAAACTAACGGTCCAAATGTTTTCTTATTATAACTGTTATTTCTAGTTTTTTTAATTTTTTTTTTTTTATTATTCATGATCTTCATGTTAGAGATTATATGTCCTTATAAACTAAGCCCTAAAATCCATCTCAAAATTTGATTTATTAAGAGGCTCACATTTCAACAACCACACTGCCAGCCAACGGCCTAGATTGGCATTTTGACAGGCATGACCTTATTTTATATTTGAATTTTTATTTTTTGTACAAATTCAAATCATTTTAAATTTTTTGAGTTTATTCTTCTCGTAAGGTTCACTTAAAAAAAAAATATTAAAAAAATAATTAGTAATATATATATATGGTTTTGTGAGGCTACTCCTACCCATAAAATATATGTTTAATGTACTTAATAGATAATAGATAGATGGACAGATATAGAGGCATATCTACACATGGTTCAATGTGTCGATCCATGAATTTCTGCTTTCATTCAGTCTTTGGACTTTTATCTGATGCATGCTCATTGGGTCTTCCTGTTTGATCAGATCTTGGGCCAAGAAATGTGAAAATTCTCTAGGAGTTCTTTGTAACTCATGCCTCTTTTAAGATTTAGGTTCTAGTTGTTTGAAAACCGGCTCTCTCTCTCTCTCACTCTCTCTCTCTCTCTTTGTCTCTCTTATGGGTGTTATATCTGCTCTCTTATGGGTGTGATATATCGATTATTTTTCTCTGCGTTTGCTACACATGTTGCACTCTGCGTTTCCTAGCGCTCTTTATTTTATTTTATTTTTTTGAGATAAATAGCAGAGCCATCGTCACACCGCGCTTTTTTTTTTGTTTTTTTATAGAAAAATAGCAGTATGAAGATGCTATTTTTAGACCACTTTTTGTTTCTTGTTTTTTAAGATAAACAGCGGTTTAATAATGGGGAAGTCAGGCAGTTTAGCATCAGTCTAAGGATTTGAACATCAGACCGCTTGGGCACTCCCCTACTAAAACAAAAAATTAAAATGCGGGCTAAAGATAGCATCTTCGGACCGAATAAAAATTTTATTAAAAATAAAAAAAAAACAAAAGTTGCACTAACCGACTTTAATTGAAATTTTGGGTTATATAATAACTGAAGAATTACTTTAATAAAATAAAGAAGAAATTGATCGGATAATTCATAAGAGATTTACTATTTAATACATTAACCATATTTTTTTTATTTTATTTTGAAAAATGCATAAAAAAGTACATGGTAACGCGTCGGAACAGTTCCAAATTGGACAATCTATATTTTATATAAGTACCGGTCATTAATGATTGATGCTGTTCTGGTTATCGGATAAAGCAAGTTGCTCATGTTTAATATCGTGAGGGTCCAACATTGACTTGGATGACTATATATTCTTATTTTATCTTTTGAATATTCTTATATTTTTATGCCAGGAACAATAGTTGTGTCCGTTCGAACCCACAACCTCATGGTGCTGTAAACAATAATTGGAGTGTGGTGTAGGACATTTACTAGTTTCAGGCTATTTATAGGACATTAGAATAAGACACCTGCCCATACCTCGCCATCCCATACAACCTCCACACCCCCTAAGAGAGCAACCCATACCTCGCCACCCTACACCACCTCTCTCTCTATCTCTCTCACTCTCTCACACACACACAAATAGACTTTATTTCCTTGCTACAAATCTCGCTCTCTCTCTAACGAAAAGAACTCTCTCTCTCAAATGTATTCTAGTGGTCCTTCTCTCTCTTGTGGTTTCGTAGTGTTCATGATCTAGCTTTGTAGGTACTTTTTCCCATCCTGTATTTGTCATATAAATCTTCACGTCCCATTTTGAGGAGCTTTCAATTCTCTAACTCCATGGACCTTCCAAATTGGCCTGAACTCTTCCTTGCCACCCTTTTCTTCCTCTTCATGCATTACATGAAGCAAAGGAACAAACCCGTTGTCTCTTGGCCCCTGCTTGGCATGTTCCCCTCCATCGCCATCAACACGCACTGCTTCTTCGAGTATCTGACCCGAGCCCTGAACCGAGCCCATGGCACCTTCTCCTTCTTGGGCCCTGCACTGACCAACCTTGAGTTCATACTCACTTGTGATCCTAAGAACATAAAACACATTGTCAAGACCAACTTCTCCAACTATGGCAAGGGCAAGGACTTTAAAGAGATCTTCGATGTTTTCGGAGATGGCATCTTCATTGCTGAGTCCGAGTCGTGGAGGATCCAGCGCAAAATGTGCCATGCTCACTTCCAATCTAAAGGCTTCAGGGCCTTTCTTGCGATCACAACTCAAGATCTTACCGATTCGGGCTTGTTGCCATTGCTGGGCCGGGCGGCAAGCCAAGGCTCACAGTTGGACTTGCAGGACTTGTTAATGAGACTCACATTTGATAGCACGTGCACCTCTATCCTTGGAAGGAGAGCCGGCTGCCTTTCCCCCGGCCTTCCTGTGGTCCCGTTCAGCAAGGCCATCGATGACGGGACAGAGGCCCTCTTGTTCCGACACATCGTGCCTCGCAGCTGGTGGAAGCTGATGAAGAGACTGGAAATCGGATGGGAGAAGAGGGCGGTGCATGCCCGGCGCGTCATCGATAAATTTGTGACAGAACAGATCGCAATCACCAAATCTCAGCTCGGAAGTGTGGGAAGCAGCGGAGATCTGATGTCGAGTTACATCAGCTCCAACAGGTCCCTATCCGATACTTTCCTGCGGGACACCGCGGTGAATTTCCTTTCTGCCGGGAGGGACACTTCTGGCGTGGCTCTCTCCTGGTTCTTCTGGCTTATCTTCAAGAACCCTCATACTGAGGCCAAGATCATAGAAGAATTGCGGAATGTGCTCGATGGCAGGACAAGGGTCCCTCTCGAAGATCTACACCAGCTCGTGTATCTCCATGCAGCGCTGTACGAGACACTGAGACTGTATCCACCGGTTCCAATCGATCACAAGGCTGCTGTGCATGACGACGTTCTTCCAGACGGGACGACGATGAAGGCCGGCACAAAGATCTTTTATTCGATTTATTCAATGGCCAGGATGGAGTGGATATGGGGGAAGGACTGTAGAGAATTTAGGCCTGAGAGATGGATTGGAGAAGGTGGGGACCTGAAGCCTGACCTAGAATTTAAGTTCATGACCTTCAACGCTGGGCCAAGGAGTTGCTTAGGGCAGGACATGGCCTTCACTCAGATGAAGATAGCTGTAGCCACCATACTTGCCAATTTCCATGTGGAGGTGGTGGAGGGCCAAAATGTAAGCCCTAAAACTTCAGTGATCCTCTCAATCAAGAATGGGCTCAAGGTCACCGTAAAAGAGAGGTCACTTCAGGCTTAGTTTGAGCACTTTAAGTTTACTACTTTGCTTCCAACTCTGTGTGTTGTAATGGGCAGGATTTCAATTGTTGCATGTTTTGTGTGGGCACAGTCATCTGTCCTTTGTTGTAATCTGATACTATATCAAGCGTGACTTAGATTTGTGCTTTACGTGGCATCTCATAACGTGGTCCACGTGGGATTTAATGACTGAGGCCTGGGGTTTAAAAAAGCAAAATGAAACCTCACCTCAAATCCTCGTCCAAAAGCACATTTGATAATGAAAATCTCCATTATGCCTTTAAAATCAATTTCCAACACACTAGGTTAAGGCATGAGGAAACCACTCAATAAATCCGGCAGCCCTCCAATGTCACCTCCTAAGATGGAGAAGGTACTAGGCATGAGGCTTAAGCACCCTGAAGACCAGGCTAAAGTGATCGCCGAGACGTTTCATGTCGCTTAACCAAGGCACCGATCCCCTTAGAGAGTGATCTAGGACAAGGGAAGAGACCGGCGGCTAGGGACCGACGGCTAGGTGGTATAAGAGTATGGTGGAAGTGTATTGGTAAGTGTGGTGTATAGGTTGATGTGATGTATGGGTACGTATGGTACATATATGTAAATGTAGTGTATAAGTAGGTGTGGTGTATAAGTAATAAGAAATATAAGTGATAGCGAGTATGATATAGGATGAAAGTGCAGTCGAACTAAGGAGTATGGTGGGAGAGGGGTATATTTCATTAAGCACTAAGTCTTCACTCTCCTCAGTGAAAGATAGTAGATTTTCAAGTAAGCACACAAAAACTACACTCTCTCTCCTAAGTTAGGCATAATTTCAATAATTTCAAAAGCCTTTTCAAACTCATAAAATATTAAAAAGCATGGGATTCATAGAGTTACCCTTTGAAACATGGTGTACTCAAAACCCATGAGGCTTGATGAAATGATAGAATAAAGTAAATAAAAAAGTAATCACGAAATCATTATAAAAAAACAAAAAATGACCCTAAAAAAATATGCAAATGATATCTAAGTCCCCAAAAAGTGCCTCTTCCCATCCACATAGCTTGGGCCCTCTTTTCGTGTTGTTCTTGGGCCCTCTTTTCGTGTTGTTCGGCGAAGTTTTGGGCCATATATTGTCATGAGGACATGGAGCAAGCCGAGATGGTCATTTCGTATTTTGTAGCTTCTTGAGCAAGAGCGACAATTCATTACGAAAGAGAGCGAAGCAAAGCTGAAGGAGCCAAAGAACAAAGAGCAATTGTGAATTCTCGCACCACAATTGTGCCCACGAACTTGTGGGCCGCGTAATATAATGCTCACTGAAAAAATGCGGAAAAACCCGGTCCAGTCGAAATCTTCCGGTTCTGACATACAACCGGTACGGGTAGAAAAATCGAGTCCATTTGGAATCTTCCGGTTTAGATAGACAACCGGTACGAGATTGCTTCCTTTTAAAGGGACCAAAGTATATTCGGATAAGGTTTTAGATACGGATAAGGTGATTTTGATCTTCATCAATGAGTTTTCAAACCTTTATATCACCCATTTGAAAAATGGATCTAGATCAGAAAACCTGGATTTAGATTGGCGATATATCACTTGATTCAGATCATTTTGAACGATTTTCAATTCAGATACGGTTTTAGATACAGATAAGGTGATTCAGATCCGAATCAACGAGTTTTCAAACATTGATATCACCTATTTGAAAAATCGTCTAGATCAGCAAATCTGGATTTAGATTGGCGACCCGGCCAAATAAAAATCTATCAATAAATGTTCTAGATATTGGGCCCCTACCCGTTTTATTAAAAAAACAAAAGAGGTTTTACATGAATATGCCTTATACAACCGTTGCAAGGGAACATCAAATGAAATATAAGAACCTCTCTTGTGGTTTCCTAGTGGTCATGATCGCAGTTTGTTAGGTTGTTTTGCCATCATGTAGTTATATAAATCTTCACGTCCGAGGGGCTTCCGATTCTCTACTCCATGGGCCTTCCAAATCCAAATTGGCCTGAACTCCTACTCTGCACCATTTGCTTCCTCTCCATGCGTTACATCAACAAACCCGTTGTCTCTTGGCCCCTGCTTGGCATGCTCCCCTCCCTCGCCATCAACGCGCGCTGCATCTTCGAGGATCTGACCCAAACCCTGAACCGAGCCCCTGGCACCTTCTACTTCTTGGGCCCTGCACTGACCAACCATGAGTTTATAGTCACTTGTGACCTTGAGAACATAAAACACAATGTCAAGACCAACTTCTCCAACTATGGCAAGGGGCAGGACTTTAAAGAGATCTTCAATGATGTTTTCGGAGATGGCATCTTCATTGCTGAGTCCGAGTCTGGAGGATCCAGCGCAAAATGTGCCATGCGCACTTTCAATCTAAAGACTTCAGGACCTTTCGTGCAACCACAACTCAAGATCTTACAGATTCGGGCTGTTGATCTTGATTCGGGCTGTTGCCATTGCTGGCCAGGCGGCGCACCATGGCTCACAGGTGGACTTGCAGGATTTGTTAGTGAGACTCACATTTGATAGCACGTGCACCTCGATCCTCGGAAGGAAAGCCGGCTGCTTTTCGCCTGGCCTCCCTGTTATCCCATTCAGTAAGGCCATCGATGACGGGTCAGAGGCGTTATTTTTCCGGCATCGCATGCCTCGCAGCTGGTGGAAGCTGATGAAGAGACTGGAAATCGGATGAGAGAAGAGGGCGTTGCATGCCCAGTACGTCATTGATTACTTTGTGACAGAACATATCGCGATCATGAAATCTGAGCTCAAAAACATGGGAAGAAGCGGAGATTTGATGTCGAGTTACATGAGTTCCAACAGTTCCCTATCCGATACTTTCCTGCGGGACATCGCGATGAATTTCCTCTCCGCTGGGAGGGACACGTCTGGCGTGGCTCTCTCCTGGTTCTTTTGGCTCATCTTCGAGAGCCCCCATACTGAGGCCAATATCTTAGAAGAACTGCGGAATGTGCTCCATGGGAGGACAAGGGTCCCCCTCGAAGATCTACACCGACTCATGTATCTCCACGCAGCACTGTACGAGACACTGAGACTGTATCCACCGGTTCCGATCCATCACAAGGCTGCTGTGCATAATGATACGACAGTGAAGGCCGGCACAATAATCCTTTATTCCATATATTCAATGGCGAGGATGGAGTGGATATGGAGGAAGGACTGTAGAGAATTTAGGCTTGAGAGATGGATTGGAGAAGATGGGGCGCTGAAGCCTGGCCTAGTATTCAAGTTCATGACCTTCAATGCAGGGCCAAGGAGTTGCTTAGGGCAGGACATGGCCTTCACACTAATGAAGATAGCTGTGGCCACCATCCTTGCCAATTTCCAAGTGGTGGTGGTGGAAGGCCAAAATGTAAGCCCTAAAACTTCAATGATCCTCTCAATCAAGAATGGGCTCAAGGTCACTTAAAAGAGAGGCCACTTCAGGTTTAGTTTGAGCACTTTTAGTTTATTGCTTTGCTTCCAAGTTTGTGTGCTGTAATGGGCAGAATGCCATTGTTGCATGTTTTGTGCGGGCACCGTTTGGTGTGATCCTATAGGACCCTCTCCTACCCATATGTATAGGACTTCAAAGGATCACCATTAAATTTAGCACGAAACTCTAAAAAAGTCAATCTCACACTATGTGATGACTTTTTTAGGGATGTGTGTCAAATTTAATGGTGATCTTTTAGGTCCTACACACATGGGTGGAGGAGGGTCCTATAGAATCATTACTTATATATATTTTCTGTAAAAATAAACAACCGAAATGCCCTTATAATTTTCAAAGGTATTCTGGTAATTTTTCATCATTAAAAGCATTTTTTTAATATTTTTATCATGTGCACCCTTGTTACGATCTATGCATGCCCCAAATTTTAGCTGTCTAATCAAGATATAACTATTAAGCGCTAACTTGTGACTCAAGTCATCTCATTACTGAGGTGTGGCCACATAAAAAGCCCTCCCATTGTTAAATATATTGGAAAGTAATGTTCATAGTGGAGTATTGTAGAACTCCAACACGTGAGCTCGAGTTTTATAGTACATGGGCAGGCATGCACAGTGCTCGCCCAACTGCTGTTATACATTAAAATGGTGCACCGCCCCCTCAAATGAGGATGGATTTTTGTCCCGTCCTTTCACATCTATTTTTCCATTTTTCTCTCTATGAGGGTAGAGAATCTAAACCTTTACACAATGCAGAAATTTAGAAGATCAATTTGGTCCCCTCCCCACTTTGGTAAATATAAGTTAATAGTCCAAGGGGGGCTCACGTCAGGCAGGTATTGGAGGAGTTCTTCATGATTCATCAAGAAACCAGTTGATTGCCTTCTTCGGACCTCTCCACCCATGCCATACTAATGAAGCCGAGGGTCAAGTGGTCTTACAGCGGCTTTCATTGGTAACTTAAGGGAGATCATTGTTGAAGGGGATTCTTTAAACGTCATCCTTTTGAATTAAAGGAGCTCGAACCATTCCTTGGATATTGAATCCCATCTTTGATCAGATCACGGATTTTGCACCATCTTTGAGGTGCAATTTTCCCATTGTTAAAGAAAGAGTAACTCCTTGGCTGATGCTTTGGCAAGCAGGGAATGTACCTACAATTATTTATAGTATTTTTTTTTTATAATTCTCTTTTCTCTTCTCTTTTTTGTTTTGGGGGCGCGGGGGCATTGTAATGGAAAGCCCAAATTACCGTCCAAAAAAGGTCAAATCTACATCCCTATTCATCTCTCTCTAAAAAGAGAGGAAATCTGCATCTCTCACTAAAATAGGGTGGAGATTCACTCCGTTTTTCATTCTCTCCTCCAAGAAAGAGAGAGACAGAGAGATGCTTGAGAGAGTGGAAGAAAGAAGAGATGCCTGAGGGGAAGAGAGATCCTTGTGAAGGAGAGAGAGAATTGAGAAATGGTGTAGACTGACCTAGTCTCCTCTCGGAATTGGGAATTGGTTTGGTTTCCTTAGAGTCGCCTAGTTCTGTCAGGGAGCCGAGAGACATTGTTAGGTAGGCGGGCGATTCGAAGTAGCTGAATCACCCATTTACACATATTTCATTTTTTGAATTATTTTTTATTTTTATCTTTTGGATTGATTCTTACACTGTAGAATCAGTCAGATTTGCAAACATAAATCAGATTTCTGAATGGCTAGTCCACTTGGCAGGTCTAGGTTTTAAAACACTGGTTCAACCCATTGGATAGAAGGTAGCATATGAAATGCTACCTGTGCTTACTAGTAATATGTGGATCAGATTATTTTTCTCACAAAAATTTATCAAGTCAGACATAAGACTTGAAGTGTCCAGCAGGTTACCCATATATTTTAAATTATTATCAAAATGCACATGATCATGAGTTGAAATATATGGAACATGGTAAAAGCTTAACAGATGATAGGTGTATTTTAATAATTTTTTCCTTTTTTATGAATAATAATTATTGCAGTCATAATAAATAATTATTTAAAAAAATATAAATTTCCTTGATAAACTCACAAAAGGATACTAGCAAAGACTAATATTAATATTAGTCGTCATTATGGATTTTTTTTTCATGAATTTATGTCCCTTGAATTTATTGAATTTCATTCACTATATTCAATAGAAAATGGGCATCACGAACTTACTATTTCTAACAAATGGCTCATCAGTTAAACACCATTCTTCGAGATTTTTTTTTTGAAAAGGTTACATGGATATGGTACTTGAGTATGAAAACCAGCCTCGTACCGTTTTGACCCAAGGCCGATTTCTACCGTTCTTCATGATTCTTCAAGTGCTTACGGCAGACCTTCCCAATAATTTAAGCAAGATTTGAGTTCAGTTTATCCAACTGTAATTGAACTGTTATGAATTATAATGTGGACAAAGTTTATATAAGGTTGCAACCTTAAAATGTAGAATTACAGATGCATCTAAAAAATTATCGAAAAAGGTTGGTTTAATGTTTAAAAAACCTCTAATTAATCATCTTGACATCAAGATGTACGACTATGAAAAAAAACGATTTTGAGTCTTAGAAATAGTGTATCTTGCAATATATCATCTAAACCATCCATTTTCAAGATTTTAATATTTAAAATTTTATAATTAGATATAAAACTAGATTTTGAGATAATCCTGATAATTTTTTCACCAAAATTACATGTTATGATAAAATTTGGAGGTGCGGCTTAATTGGATTGCTTGAGGTTGCAACCTTATAGAAACCACATCCCTATAATATCTTCTAAAATTCAAAATCCATTTGGATCCAGAAGGATGCCAGATGTGGATGACAACGTTAAAATGTGCACGAGTGTGACCCAAGTCCAATATTTTTATAAAAGAAAAGTATACAAAAAGACAATTTACTTTTAATACAAGGAGGTCACAATCACTCTTGCCTGTTAATTTTCAAATCGGATGGTTGCCAGTATGTCAAGGAGGTCACAATCACTAAACTCAAAGTTCAATGACCGAACCGTATATCCACCCTATTTGTAACATGTACAGACATACATTTAATACTTTGGATGAAATTTGAACATAGTAATTTCGAACTGCTAACATCAAAATTGGATTTAATTTTTGTATATGTTGCCTATATTAGTGAAACTTTGGTCTTCATTGAAATTTCAAACCACAAACATAAAACTCATATTCAAAATTTGTATATGGTGCCGATGTTTTTAAAACTTGGTCCAAAATCTATTGAAATTCAAGCCACTTACACAAAAACTGCAACATGAACTCTTTAGTTAGAAAAAGAAACAAAATCATTACAATGGAAAGAGAGAAAAGAGAAGGACCTCTTTTCCCCATTCTGTCTTCTCTTCGTAGCCGCAACTAATGACATGGATGGCCTCCTTAACTAGAGCTGAAGGATTTGTCCCCTCAGGCAAGCCCCCATCTTCCATTAGAGTTGAAGTGATAAACACTGGCGATTGCCTGAATCTCTTCTCAAGGTTCTTTTGAGACATGGGCCATGACTTCTCTAGCTCTTCGTACCCTTCAAGAGTTTCTTCAGTTTCCTAAAGATCGAAAATTGGGCCCCCCTTTTCCCCCATCTCGAGTGCTTCTTTCTTGTAGCCTTCGTATCATACAATGGCTCGAATGAGCCTTTCTTGGCCTTCCTTCCACCAGAGCAACAGCACCATGATGGCAAACAATCACAGGTCATCTTTGGACGCTTGCGCGTTACTGGGGGATCATAACCATATAGCGCTTGCCAATTGAACACACAACATGTTCCCACAAAACTGGACCTTTAATCCCATCTAAACCTTTCATGTTGATCTGCAACACAAAGGGCTAAATTAGCTTAAATAAAGGAGGATTGTGAAGAAGGGTGCACTGATAACTGGTAGTTGCTGATGACCATCATGAATGGCTCAAAGAAATGATATATTTGAACTTGAGAATTTATGATTTGGTCAATTTGGCTTTCATACTTACATCTTGGGGTCATGAAATTAATTTTGAAGGATATTCGAGCGCCAAATATTTTTCCCTATTCAATCACTAGCATTACAGTGAAATTTTCCTAACTCTAAGCATGATCTTAATTTCCATAACAAGCTCCAAATAAGAATAAGATTCTTATTTTGTAATATGCTTGTTACAAGAAAAATCCGGCAGTTAGGAGTTAGGACAGAGCTAAAGAAACATACATCGAAGAAAACGATATTTCGGTTCGCATATCGATCATGTCAGTTGATGCCATCAAAATGTTGTGGGAATCGAACATGCAAAGCTTCTTCCCCAACTGAGGGTCTATTAAGAAACACATAGCCTCTCTAACGGCCTTGCTATTGTTAATGTAGTGATCACAATCCAAGCTTAACATGAAGGGAGCATTTGTTAGGATTATAGAGACTCGAACCTGAAACAAAGTGAACTTTTGATAAAAAAAATAAAAATGGGATATTGGGGGGTATCTCGACCATTTCAATTTGTAAGGATTATAACCATAGTTACCGAGAGTTGGAGCGAGAATTGCTTCCGGAACTGGAATAGGATCGTCGGATGGACATCGATCCAGAACCTGGATTCCGGAGCCAGAATCGTGCCCTTTAGGAGCGTTCCCTGTAACTAAGGCCATAACTTGGAGGACTGATGGGCTCTTTTTGGGGCATTATTGGATATATTTCAAGATGAGTTCTAAGGAGTACAAATGACATTCCTATGGTCCCTCTCCAAAACTGATAATAGATAGCATTGCTCAAAACATTTCCTCCAATCTATGTAGCATGGACACATATTAGAAATTTTAGAAGCGGTCCACACAATAGGCACACAACACTTTGATAATTAAAAAATTTAGACACTTCTTATTAACTTTTTTAGTTGAAATGTAATAGTAAAGAGCTAGCCATCTAAAATCCCACATCCCCTTTTATTTGAATGATATGCGGATATGTATGTCTCATCATCATCTAAGT